ACAAGTGTCCCTTCGCTTATAATTTCTTTCAATGGATGTAATGGGATAGTATAAGACCTGCAAAGTAGCAAGAAAAAATCTTGTTAAGTCATTTCAAAAAGTTGCTTAACTAAGAGATATCGAAACTTACAGATGTTCAAAGAGAAACTTCATTCGTCGAAGAAATTCTTTCTCTGCTGTTGAATTAAATTTTTTCGAAAAAGATTCAGTGATGGTTTCGCGAAGTTTGTGTAATCCACCATCATTATCATCAAGAGCAACCTAAGCAAGATAGTCAGTAAAGGGAACATTGCAAAAGAATGATGATAATAGAAGATACGAACCACAATGTACTCTTGTAGGATTGATTTTATGTCCCTTGTTACTTTTTCTTTTCCGATTAACTTTGATTTAATATCCTTTCTGAGATCTTCGAGTGTTTCCCTAGAGAACGTTTTTACTTGCATTTCCGAATAATTATCCATTTGTAATAAAAGAATATGGGATAGACTCCTGAATTTTCAAAAAAAAAAGATAATCAACCCTCATCAGTAAAGTTAATCATTAAAAAGACATTCCATTTAAAAGTTCTACCTACAATATTTCGTGATAATTTTTCGTCATTATCAGATCAGAATTTTGCGCATGAGCTAACACTTTGGATCGATATGACTCAAACAGTGCCGATATGTTTTTTTGTTTTGAAAATGAACTATAAAACGATTATTGGTTTAAAAAAAATCGTGCTTACAATCAACCTTAAGAAAAAAAATACTTACAGGTATATCATTTCGATCAACGTACTCGTCAAATCCCATTTCTTCCACATTTAGCCTTAAGCCACATTCATCGTCACTTTCATCACTTTCTGATTCGTCATCATAATAGTCATCATCTTCGGTCTTTGTGCGCTTTCTTGGCTTGTGAAGTACAAAAAATTAATATACGTAAACCTTTGTATAATACATTATTTGTGTTACATTTATACTAACCTTTTCGTCGCTTTCACAATCTCGATCTAGTACTCGCTTCGATTCAGGAGTATTAACATATAGAAAAGCATTCTAATTGCACGGTAATTCATTATGGATAAGCAACAAGATTAAACAAAAAATGTTTATCCACTCTCACAAAATAACTTACATCGTCTCTCAATGTGAATATCGTTTCATCAGACACAATCGAACGTATTTCCTTTGTTTCTTCAATGGTTTTATCCAACGCAGATTTTGCATAGCTTAACTATTAAGTACGGTCAGTCAACTTCTCATTAAATAAGAATCTATAGATGATAATCTGTTCACCTTGGTAAGTTTTATCGAGTCCGACATCCAAAAAGCGTCTACTTCATGGGATGATTTCTCGTCCTTACAAAGCAGAGAATATATTAGTCTAATCAAATAACCAAAACATATCATTATAATCAAAGCATTAGGAGATATATTCCATGAAACGAGACGTAGTCTAACAACCAGAAAGACGTAGTTCCTAGTTGCAACATGGAAATAGAGGCGTAGTCTATTCCCCGAGGGAAGGCGTGGTTCACTGTCACTGGCCGAGACGTAGTCAGCCAGCTACTCGGGGCTTCTATCTCAGTTAATTGATAAATATTTACATAAGCAACACGTACATTAAATTCGTTAAGACATTTTTGAGCTTGAGCACATTTTTCTTTTGATTCATTATTTGAAATAATTCTTTCAAGTCCTTTCGTATATGTCCTATGTTCGTTAAGTTTATCTCTTGTGAAATCTTTTGCATACTGTCGTCTGTATTGCAAGAAAGAAATCAATGACCAAGTTGCATGTTCTTCAAAGTACGTTTGTGGGTCACCCATTTTAAGTGGTATTGAATTTAGTATTTTGGTATTTGCGACGGGTATACGTTATAGATCGCGAGGAACTTTTAACGGGTACACGTTATAATTTTTACTTCACTGCTAAAACGTGACAGCGATCAGCGCATGCTCCTGATTCCATATCGATATACCCCTCCAAAATAAAATCACATGCCTGAAAAATCGATTGCGTAATACAAACATTGTTATGAAATAATTGCAAATAGTCCAAAGCCATATCGTGAAGATATTACATTCCGAGCAATGAAACCCTAAAAGAGGAACAGTAGTTGTATTTGAAGATCTATGTACCAAGCCTAAAAAAATGCAAGATAGAATTGCTCCATATTTTAGTGAAGGGTGACATGCTAATATCAGTTCAATATACATAACACAAAGCTTTTTCGACTGTCCAAAACTAATGAGAAAAAATTTGGATTATATCGTACTCTTTAATGGTGCAGGTACATATGATGAGCTAGTGAATATTGCCAGACGATATACAAAAAATTGGCAAAATGCTATTGATATACTTGATAAAAGTTTACAAGACCGGGAGTTTATTGTGATCGATTTAACCAGAGCGAAAGAAGACCCTCTATATATTAGAAAAGGTTGGGACCAAGCACTTGATCTTTCTAATAAGTAGAGCCTGATTTATGATGATAAGATAATAATTATTTTTTTCCCGTTATTTATTAATACAATAATATAAATACATCCTACTCGCCACTTCTTATATAATTAAGAAGATGCACGTATCCAGCCTAGTGTTGAAATTGAGGTGGATGTTTTTAACATCTTATTCGCTACAATTCTTCAATGAAATAGCTATCAGTATCCAGCCTGATTGAAGTTAAAGTAGATGTTGAAAAATAAATAAATTCTATTTATACCGTGGGAATTTTTTATGTCAGATAAAATAATCATATATAAAAACTAAAGTAGAGATAAAGACTCATGGCTATGCTATAAAAAATATTACCAACCCTTCAGGATATCGAAATAAAGTCTAAAGTACTATGCTCCTATTTCTAAAAGTCACTTTCAGAATCTAACCCACAATTGACTCTTTTTAGAATCTATCTAATTAACTGGAATATAATATTCTTCATATTGTCTATTAATAATAGAATTGTGCATCATAGGATTGTTTTTATATATTTCAATCCATTTATTACACCATTGATTAAATTATTCCCGAGTCTGAGGATTTTTTACTTTACATCTCATTAAACCTAAAAATTTCTCATCAGAAGTATTATCATTTCTTAACAAATTCCAAGCTTGAGTGACTAATGATTCAGGTCTATTCTTGTAATTTCTTCAAGCTCTTTGTATAATCCTTGCTTTTCCAAAATCAGTCTTTGGTTTGTCACATTCATTATCCCAATGACCGATCATCAAATCACTAGGTACAAGATAATCAACATATCTTTGTTTAGTAAAATGGAATATTTTTTTGGGCTGTATATCATTAATTTTTATGAGTTTCCAGCAACCAAAACAAATAGCCACATGACTTTTATGGATTCTTGGTCTATAATAGTTGAAATTTATAAATTTACCTTTATCAAATAATGTGAATAAACATAGCCAGTGATATATACTAAATTTCTCAGCATTTAATAAATTCTGTAAAGATACTCTAACCTGTATTGCCCATTGAATCAGTGTTTCATTCTGTTTTATGATAGATAATGTATCAAATAATCTCTCATTATTGAAAATTTGATTGAGTTTATTAGCATAAGTTCTACTATAATGTAATATATATGATACAGCATATTTCATATCAAAACCAGGATGATTAATATATGGTTTAGGAAATGTTTTATCTTTTTTATCAATAATAGTAACGATATCAAAACCAGATATATTTATCGATTAGGATATTTAGACCTACCTATTTGATTTAGCCTTGCTAGTTTTACTAATAATTATATACTCTAGAATAGTATGATTCAATTTTAGTACAGATGCTTGAAGAGCACCCCATAGGACCTGGATTATTAGATGAGTTGTATATAATTGTCATATTTTGTAAGTGATGTATAAATCTGCTGATAACAATGATCGAAAATTTTCTTGGCAAAAGTGATCAGCATGAACAATGTGAACTCTACAAGTTATAGAGTATTATTTTTTATCCATCTCACTATTAACAAAATTTAATCATCTGATTATTGCTTTGCAATGGGTCTCTAGGCAATATTATAGTCAATGTGTGAATATATAACAGGTTAACTGTTAGATAATGGATAATTGACAATAATTAATGAATTGGTAGGTGTTAGTTCATTTTGATACCGCACATTTCCTATAGATATATGATTTAAATAGTGGTAAAGCTTATTGTAAAACAATGATGATGCAAAGCATCGAATTTCCAATTCCCCTTTAGATCTATAAGAAATTGAATCATTTAATCAGTGCATATAATTCATATGATACTGCATATAGTTGTGAAATAATAGAATTATAACTTTATTAATGTATGAATTCGGATGTGATATTGATGTCACTGGTGCAGTAACATGGCACAGTAATAATTATATTCTATTCTCCTTTTTTAAAACTTTGACTATCATATAATCAATATTTTCTTGGCTTAAGTTTGAAATATTTGATGCTGAAAATGATCTAATATCTCTTATTTTCTCTTTACCAATACTAACAAATAAACCATATATTTTTCCTGCTCGCTCTTTTCTTTTTTTCAATGCATCATTGGTGATATTATCAGGAAGTTATTTCTGGATTTTGTCATTAACAAGAGCCAAGCAAGCTCGATCTCCATGTTTCAGATTCTTATAATGATCGAAATATTTTTTTATAGCTTCACCAAAGTTAAAATAACTTTCAATAACTTCTCTACTCACTTTAGATTCAGTCTGCATAATTTTGTTATAATGGTACAAAAAATTATTAGTGCTTTCGTTGACTTCTATTGCTTTTTTAGAATTTTCAGGTATTATTGATGTCAATTCCTCAATAAGTTTTTTTAATATAGGAGAATCTTCTTTTGAAACATGCTTCTTCACTTTCTTGCTGGATGATTTGCTGGTAAATTTACTAACGTGCTTTTCAGGCAGACTTGAGTATTGGGGCAGACTTGGAAAGTAGGCAGTAGATAATACCAGAGATATATTCATCGAATCATTGGTATTCTGACTTCCAAACATAGCATTAATCATAGATAAGATATAGTCTTGAGATTTTACCTCTTTTACCTTCTTCTTGCAATCAGGTCTTGGGCATATTAAATGTTTTTTGATGGAATTTTCGATACAATCGTGATAATATATATGACCACAAATGAGTATGGTAATCAGATTTTTTATCTCATATAAAAAAAGTTCTTGATTGCATAATGAGCATGGATCTAGCTCTGAAATATCCACACTTTTCGTAATCTTTTCTGAGAATGAATTTTTTAGAATATTTAATGCAAGGTCTTCGAGAGATAAGATATTAGCAAACATTCTGGCACTTTGTAACTGAAGAGTGGATCTACTCATTAATAGAATTTTGCTCACCAAATTACGTATAAGGCACACATAGATCTTGGAATTATTCATCTTGGAATTGTATATCTCGGACCTGGTGATCCAAAATGAAATTTTTGATTAAGGAAAAATATGTGAATTACCCTACTGATATGGTCGGCAAAAAAAAATGAAAGGTATATTTGATAGCAAAGACATGAATCCCTAACTCAAAACATATATATATGAGCAAAATCATGCCTTCATTTTATTCATATCAGAAGAAAAAGAAAAAATAGTAGGTATATGCTTAAAGCAAAACTCATCCACATATTTCATACTCATGTCTAATAATGTATTATTTAGAATTATGATTCTCTCATGAATTTGGGAAACAAGGGTAAATAGTTTAATATCAAGTTTCTTGTTATCCCTATCCATAGATTTTTCAGATTTCCAACTAACTATCTTAGGTATAGTCTTGTCATATTCAAAAAAGAATCTATCAATGATGTAAAAGTGAAAATTCAGTGGTATTTTCTAGAAGAGTTTAAAAATATTTCTTTTAATATTCGAGTATCTGATCCCAAGGCCAAAATATACAAAGACATAAAATTGCAAGATAAAGTTAGTGATTATTTTGATAAAAATCCTGTAACGGGTCATATTCATATTATAGTAGAATCCATTAGTTAGGTTTTTATATCTACAATATTATCAGCATATATTAAAAACTTTGTAATATGTGGTTACGACTATTTAGGCTGATTATCTTGTTAATAATAAAAAATATATGTGAGATGAGAAAACTATCTATCCATTATTCTTCAATTGATCCTAGTCTTCTTACTGGTTGGGAAGTTCACATGACTGCGAGACAAATCTGTCGATATAAAAATCGATTATGTATACAGATATTTGATCAGATATGTAAGTGCCATTACTTCGTAATACATATCACAGAATAAATTAGAAGGTCATGGAACTTTTCATACATGATGCAATCATATGACCTGCTAACTGTTGAGTATTATTATTGATTGCATAATACAGATGTTTGATCAATATATCACATGCTATCACAGAAGAAAATTAGAACTTCTGCATGCACGATGTAATCATATGATCTTCTGACTAACATAAAAACCAGATTTGAATATTTTCTTTGTAAAAAATGCTTCACCACTATCTATTCAGAAAGAAAAATGCAGATTCTTTTAGAAGGAGAATATAGTTTTTGTCTTTGTATATATTGTTTTTTATCCCAATTTCATATTTACTAAACTTCGTACAGAAATGGAACAGGATTATAAATACCTTGGTTGGAAGAATTTCAGTGTTGAGTATTTGGAGAATAATTGTGACAAAGTCAGAAAAGTATGCTTCGCTTCATGGTTCGGCTATATGATTAATACAAATAGCAGGTGATATAGTTCTATGAGCAATATATTTCAAATATATAAGCTGGCTTGTGAGAAAGCTTTACATTATTCTATCAAATCTAGTAGCATTCTACAAGATGCTTATGAAGAATTTTCTAAGATTCCTGACGTATGTATTATTTTTTTATCCCATCCATAATATCTTATATGATGACATTCCATCTATTCTGAGAACCAACTTCACACCACCTTCTCATACCTGAGATTTGGGCCCTGATGGTTATTCGTGATGTATGAAGAAATTGGAGATCTGATTAAATAAGAGCATTAAATAATAAACAGAATATAGAATTTTTGTATATTGACTCCTCTATTTTTATAGAACAAGCAGAGAACGCAATATTTATCAATGGTAGAGGCTATGGAATCAATGATTGACATAAACTACTATAATCTCATTTTAGAAAAGCTTATTACTGACGCTAACACATTTTATATGTTTCAGGTTTCTCTTAAATTTGTAAGTCTAACAGAAGAGAATCCTGTTTTTTCAAATAAGAAAAAAATTGGGAAATGATTGGTAACGTACTCGTATTATAAATGATTATATTTTTTTTTTGCTTGTTCTTACTCAATACTTCTGTAGAATGATTTAATTCAAGATGAGATATTCCATTTATTGCTATTATATGAGTTGAGGAGCCTCTTTGAATCCTTTGATGCCAGTAATATTGAATAGAATGATCCACTCAGCTTCGGTTGCATTGTTGATCGAAATTTGGATATAATTTTTAGAAAGTTGTCAGAAGAGCGAAAGAAGAATTTGAGAGAAATTATAAATTTGGCATATGATCAATACGAAACAAGCCATGCTATTTCTGAATTGATTAAAATCCTTTTAGAAAAATTAAAGAGCTTGAATAAAAGGGAAATGATAGTTTCTCTCCCACCTATATCAGCGGATTTCCAAGGAAATAATAAGGAATTTGAAGACATATGCGTGATGCATAGGATTATAGACTCTATGTAGGTAATTGAGCTTTTCCATCTTGATAACTAACCAATTTCTAATACTCTTATTCTATAGCCAACATATCTGGTGCTATTTTAACAATGAAAATAAGACTGAATACACTGAAGGGACATATATCATCTGTATAGTATCTAATTTTCTTGATCTATTATTTTGCTATGAAAATAGCAAACTTAAAATTATCTGGTAAAGTTTTAAATAATGTGTTAAATATGATTTTTTATCAGAAATGATCACATAATGACTATAACAAGTTTACATACATCATAACAGGACCAAAGAAGTCTCAGAGACATCTCAACATTGGATGGATGATTCTGGAGAAATTAGAATTGGTCACAAATCCAATTTTCATGTGAAGTCCCTACTGATTGCTGGTGAAGTGAAAATTGGTCTCATGGAGGCCTCACGTATTCTTCCAACTGATAAAAAGATTCATGATGATTGGGATAAGTTGATCAAGCTTATGAAAGATGCTCATGTACGATTACTGAGGAAGCTCACTAGAGGGAGGGTTGGAGACGTGAAGGAAATAGAAGAAGATCTTAACAAGGTGCCAGTTTTTGGTATCCAAGTTGCTGGTATATAATATCACAATTATTTTTTTTTCACTCAAAACTAACCATTTCTACTTTAAGAGAAACTATGGCATGTTGGGTTATGACTATGCCATTTGGAGCCTTTTACTTTATTCAACATCTTGGTTCAGTGCAAATTTCTATGAATCGAGGCCAATCTTCACTCGCTGGATTTATGAATGAATTATGGAAGTTAAGGGTAAGGCATCTTTTTATGGAATGCGAGAAGTTGATAAACAAACTCTTGGTTAATTAATAGAATTATTTGTAGGCATCTCTACGAAACCACATTCGCATCCTTAATAAGATTGTGGAAAAAGTTGATGTGTCTTTATATAATATAGCTTTTTGTTCACCACAAGCTCGGGAAGATGTGCCTCTTTACGATGGAGAGTTAGTAACACCACGATCGCCATAATAGAGCTTGCTGATGCGGGTATTTAAAAAGACAGTGTTCTTCTACCATTAAATTTCCACCCAATAACAGGTAAGTATAGAGATATTGTATAAATTATTATGTATTTTTATTGTATCGACTATCCTGGCTTTGCTAATAAAGAATTCGAGTTGAGAAGATTATATATTATGTCGATATTTTCATGTGTATCTTGTATCGAGTTGTACACCCCATATACCCACACCGGAAAATTAATTATATGCTTGTAGTATATGCCGAAATAGATCATGTAACGATTATCCCAGATATAGAACGACGACGCTATTTTTCTATCGCTGGTTATGCGTGTTCCACGAACTTCTATGTCGATCTTGATCTTGTGTGATTGGTTAATAATTTTCCGGGTTTTTAATTATTCTGATTGGATCCCAAAACTTTGTTTGTGAACGGCGCATTCCCAGCCAACCAATTATCATCGTATATATACCCTTTTACCAATTATCAACGATTACTTACATTCCCACGATTTTTCGCGAAAGTATACGCTATTCTTTCTTGAGCAAGACTCGGCTCGTTGGATAGCGTCATTTTCATATTTCCCTGCCTATTAGTTAATATACATCGAACCTTTCTCTATTTGAACCGCCATAATATTCGGAATTATGTCTTCTGCCTATAAAAGAAAAGAATCCGTCACGTCGGAGGAGACACCAGCTACGAAAAATAATATCCACGACATATTCGAACCACCTGTATCAAGTGTTATTTCGAGCCGTGAACATCCCCATAGACGTACGTGAAAGTTTGATTTATCGTTTCTTGGTAATTAGGCAATCGCTAAGAACTTCACTGACAATAGCAATTGCAAAGTCTGCTAAACGAAATCGGCGAAAGAAGTTAACTCGATACGCCTATAAGGTTCTGGCGAATCAGGGAAAAGAAGCGACTATTATCCCCAGTAACGATAAAGACATCCAAAATAATGAAGCACCTACTGTTAATCCTAATATTCATGATAATACAGATAATCAGAAAAAACATGAAAAAGCAGAGATATTCTACAATCCAGAAAAGGTAGGTTAAATGAATGTTACTTGAGAGCGGGAGAGATATATAATTTCGTTATATTAAATGGAGCTTGAAGAAAAGGGGTAATCATCGTCTTTAAGACAGGTCTAGGGGCCGATTTCACCCTCCCTTGCAAAGCTCTATTTATAATTGAGGAAGTGATTGCGAAATTATCATTATCTTTTAGCGAGGAGAGGAAGATCCGATAAAATTCCCGCGGTTTATACCACCAAGCTATTAGATGAGAAGTAATTTGCGTATATCCGCCTCAAAATCTATTGCATATAGATATCTAGCCTACGACGATTTGATATCGACATTAAATCACTTTATTTTTTTTAGCACAAAACACAAATAGAGACACGGAAATCTACGAAAAAAGATACTGTTAATTATATCCGAACACAGTGGGTTTCTGAGAATTTTGTCGCTGAGGATCTTAAATCAACCAATTTATCCCAGCCTTCCACAGTAGTCAGTCCGAAGTCTACATTCATCGAAAAATTCTTAGAAAAAAGGCGCGAAAGGCGAATTGCAAATCAAATTCCTATTGATGACATCTCTTCGATACCAGAAAAATATATGAAGTTATTGGAGGTAGAGATATTTCGCGAACCCAATGTCTTAGAATCAATACCTCAAGATTTATGGAATGAGTTTGGACAATGGGCATGTTTTAATAAGGTTCCTTATTTTAGAAAAAAATTCCGGTATCATTCTCGACGTCTGTGGTCTAAAATAAGACATGCGTACGATCAACATACGAAGAATCAGAAGCTCTTAGAAGATCACGAAATTCCAGAAATGTTCCAGCGACACCCAAAGGATAAACTTGTGATTGCGGACGAAACGACAAAAAAAATCATAAATAACGTTCACCTCGACGGCTATAAATATATTTCAAAACCATGGTGTATTAAAAACGTTTTTGGTGAAACGATAATTGACTTCTTTGATCTGAGCAATCCAGTATCCGCGAGAGTTGCGCAATCTGCGGTGGATGATTATTATGAGCACACTCGCAAACATGTCAGTCATTAGAGTAACCAGTTTATCAATAACCTGGCAGAACAATTCGGTTGTTTGACGGATAGCAATATAGAGCCTTACGTTACGGCAAGCATGGCATCCAACCATTCCCAGGACCATCGGAGTTGCGTGAATAAATTGATGCGAGAACTTCAACCATTATCAGACGCAGTTAACGATTATCTTGGTGTTTCTTATCCAGCATTGTATGCTAAGATGAAAAAACTCAACCTAGGTTCCAATGTTCCTAAATGTTTTGGTGCCTTCCCAACAGTCGGTATTAACTTTAACTCTATTTGCCAGTTCCATCGGGATCTGAAAGATCATAGTAATACGCTTTGTGTTGTTTGTCCTCTGGGTGTGTTCGAAGGTGGACAACTGGCATTTCCCGAGTTAAAATTTGCGATTAATGCTAAACAAGGGCAGGCGATAGCTTTCCGATCACATCTTTTAATTCATGGGAACCTTCCAATAACGGCTGGGTCAAGGCATAGCGTTGTCTTCTATATACACGATACCGTTATAAAGCAAAAACGAAAATTTGCTTCTCTTTTTGATGATGGGGATTTAGATGCGCTGGAGATTCTAGATAACACTTGTTCAATCGACGATGACGTTATAAAACATGACAAGAAACTGCAGAAATGCTCCCCTCCTAAATTAGCTCCCCGGAATTCCTCAAGATTAAAAAATCATCGGCGGAGTCATCTTGGTAAGTGTCTATTATAGGTGGACAAGGTTTATAAATTAATATATATTGTTTATTAATCTCTCAATTCATAGATTTGGAACCCGCAAGAAGAGGCTTACCGGCGCAGTATAGGAAATAACGCGTCTAATGAGTTTTTGTGATGAATTTAAATTCGAAATTTATAGCCACTTAGTGTATGTATCAAACAATAGAAATTTATTATTCTTAATATAAATATATCATGCCTTTAGGCGTCTCTTTGAGGCTTGATTATCATGGGTTAAATAAAGATTTCGTGTAGGCATTTCGTGCCATTGTTATACAATAAATATATGAGATTATACCGGAAATAACTAATGTTCGGATAATTAATTATCTGCCTAAAGCCCTTGCCACGATCGATGTAGTCCTTGATCAGGCCCGTAGGGGCGAGTTACACTCATGGCTTGAGCAAGACTATTTAATAAATTAATTCGTTCTAAATCAGTAAATTCTGATGATTAATTGCAGAAATAAGATCTGTTAAATTTAATGTATTAGTTGAAATCATTCTATTAGGTCCACCGGTAAAGATAACGCTTCGAGATACCCTTAATGGATCTGGAATAAGTGAATGTGTATTCTCACTCTGTATGTTGTCATCGGGGTCAGAACCAGAAGTATCAGACGATCCAGAATCAGACTGTTCATATGATGAATCGTAATTTTCAATATGTATACTTGGATTGAGTCGTTTTACTACCTTTTCACTAATATTTTCACAACTATTCACATCAAGATATTTTAAATTAGGACACGAACGGGCTATTTCTTCAATTGTTTTATCGGAAATGTCACAAAATCCAAGTTTAAGATGCTGAAGTTTAGGACAAGAACGAATAACATTGCATATCGATGGTTCGGTAATGAAATTACACCCTTCAAGATCAAGATATTCTATTTCGTGGCATGTATGAGCTAGTGCCTCAACAACCTCATCGCCGACATCATTATGGGAAATATTGAAATGTTTTAAATTTGGAGAAGACCTGATAATAGCTACAATAAGAAAATCGTTTCGAAAAGCCATATCATGGGCGAAATCAAGGTACTCTAATTTGAGGTGCGTTTGTACTAACATACTAGTATCTTTGATTTTTCCACGACTAGCCGGTATACCTAAGCATCGTAAATTAGAGCATGAGTTTAAAATACAACTTATAGTTCTATCAGTAATCCAATGCGCTTCATTAAAATAAAACTCTCTCAAATTACGACACGATTCCGCAATTGCTATCAATGATTTATCGGTAATACCTCTACAGTAAGAAATACTTAGATATTCTAATTTATTGCACGTTTGCGCAATCTCACATAACCCTCTATCAGATATCATTTGATTATCTCATAATTAAGGTGTTTTAAATTTGGGTATGATGAAGCTATTCTAATTAATGTCTTATCACTAATGCCCACGCTATTTTTAAAGTCTAAATAAATTATATTTGGGCAGTAATTTATGATAGATCTAATTAATTTGTGTGTAATTGAATGATAATGTGAAATTTTTAAGTTTTTCAGCTTTGAAGCATAAATTGGTTTTTTCTTCCTGCATATTAATTTTATGAAACTTTCTAACCGCGTTCGATATCGTTCACAATAATTATATTCATCTGGGAAATAATGACCGTAATGGATATCATTACCTTTTAACTCAACTCTCCTCCATAGTAGCGGTATACCACATTGGTACCAAAGCCGATTAACAAACAAAGCGGGATAGAAGGATCGATCAATTTCTAAAAAATATAAGATCTGTTCTAGTAATTCCGGTAAATCAAAAATATTTTGTTGCGCCATTCTCAAGAATATATATTATATATCTTTAATCGAAAAAATAGACACAAAATGTCCTGCTCTGCAGACTAATATTTGAATGATCGATTTAGGCACGTATATTATTTATTTTCTTGATATTTTCAACCATGCTTAACGGATTTTGAAAGTAATTTTACCCGTTGATGATATCGATCTTCGGCTTGTTTCATAAATAATCCACCTGGTCGATAAATCCATTCAATTACTGCATGCTGAATTATTTTAGCAGAATTAATTTGTCTTCTCCATAAACGATATGTCTGTTGGATAATTAATGATGCACGATTCTTTTTATACAATGCTAATTGAACTTTAAAATTTCTATATTCAGGGTCATTACCTATTTGTTTATGGCTGGTTAAATTATTTTTGATACGAAATACAAAATTTTCCCAGTAATCTTTATTATTTATTTCATATTCTAGTTTTAATAAACGCTTGCATACATACTTTGGTGGATAATATTTTGCAAACCGTAACCATGCTTCTGACATTTTAATATTGTTAATGATATAATTTTCACCATATTCACTTAACCTGTCTCGCACTCTGTTATAACTCATTATATATTTACTACTTATTTTAGACGTATTTAATATGGTTTTAATTTTTGCGTATATAATGATTAGAAGATTAAAATCAGATGCTACATGCTTATCACCCGAAGCAATTAGTGATATAATTACTACTAAGGATTCAGCAAATGCATTATGGGATCTAGCTAAAAAATATAATGTACAATGCAACATGGTACAAAATTTTAGGTATATATGCTATGCATTTCCCGAATATTCTCAATTAACTTAACCTCACAACTAGTTCCATTAAGTAATGTGAGAGTTTTATTTGGGAAGTCCAGTTTCATTACATTTTCCTGGAACTACGGCTGACCCAATATTAGTACAGATTCAAGTTTGGGTTCATTGGTAACGAAAACATCAGTAACTTTTACTTGCTCCTATTTACGATCTTGAGATTGGATCGAAATCTCTATTGTACGAATTATTCCCAATATATTGAACTTGCTAATGGGACTATATATTTCTGTATCGGAGGTATTATCAATTTTCAAGCCTACTATTTTTGCTATACTCTTGTCCACAATATTATAATTAGTACCAGAATCCAATATAACGGTTACTGGTGCTTTATTAATTTCACAAGATAAAATTCTCATAGTGATGTTTTATTATAATAATATATTTAATTCTGGATTTTTAAATTCGTATTAATAAATAATAATTTCGCATTTAAAATGACTGAAGCTAATAACAATATTGATGACAACCTGATGAAAGAATCCATAAAAAACTTTAAACGATGTTTGATTGACATCAATGATGAAGTTGTGGAGGGAATAGTTGATTCAGGCTCAGAATGTCCAATTATCACTTATGAGATTGCGAAAAAATTGGGTTTTGTAAAAGATAAAAGTTTACCCAATATTACCGATAAAGCAGTATCTGATATTGTTAAGCAAGTATCGGGTAAAAAAATCTGAATCTCTCTTCACCAATTACTAGAGATAGTAAAACCCAAGGTTCATCAAGAACTTATAAACTCGATAGCAAACTTGGATATCCCTCAAAGAAATCATACACCATGCAAGGCTAAAAGAAAGTGCAAAGCTAGAAAAAAACTAATTTTTAATGATACCGCATCTGAGTCCTCGTCTTCATCTGAATCTGGGTCTGACTCTGAATTGTTTAGCTACGAAGTGACTACCTCCGACAACGATGATAAAGATTTTACTGTGGATATGATGAAAGCAAAGAAGCGTAATTAGTTATCATTATAAAGTCAAAATGGTTTCGCTTCTTCAGATTTTTGTCCCTACTTTCTGTAGTTTACTATAATGTAGTTTTGTATTGGAGAAGTGTGGTTATCGAATGAATATCAAAGTGCTTCCCTAGCGATTATATAGACATGAGCTAAATTCTCTGCCCCATGCATCATCACAGCATAAATGGCACCTATTTTTCATAAGAATTTAGGAATTAAACCATATTCTTTTAAGAACCTATTAAACCATTTAACTCCAGGTTTACCTGGATTACCAATTCGATCAGAAGATATAGAATTCTGTATTCAGGTTAGTAATTCTTTGGCTTGTTCTTGATTCTTTTCTATAGATCTAAATTTTCGAGGAATATCTGCCTAACCTCTGTTCTTCACATAACCCGTTACTTCCGAGTCTGTAATATGTAAAGTTATAAGTTCAGCGGGGCAAATACAAAGTATCACCATAATATCAGCAAGGGCCAAATAATCGGGTGGAGTTTTTAAATCATACGTATCTAATCTTTCTTTGACTGATTCTAATATAAATTTATCTGAATAATTAATATGATTGGTTTTAGCCTTTTTCTGATTGTCCTTCTGGATTTTGTTAGCTTCTTCTGTAAAATCAGGAAATTTTGTGATCTCGACTATTGCGGGTAAAGTACCAAGGCTTCTTAATTCTCTTCTGAGTCAGAAAAGACGTGATGAACCAGCATTAGCATTTTTCGCTGATAGGGCTAAGATATAAGCTTCAGCTCTTATATCCCAAATACTAAGTTTATCCCATAAAAGTTGATGCGTCATCTCTCCAATTGTTTCTTGTATGGCTTGATTAGAAATAACAATGTTTACTGTGGAACAAGGCACTTTGTGCGTAGTTTTGCTTTTTGGTTGAATATTTTTCTGAATAGAGAGACGACATAAGTCGCTTTGCAAATCAAATAAGTTATCAACTTCACCCTTACTAAATCCATATCTATTTTGCAAAATTTGTTTTGCTTTCTCTCTGATAATCTCTTCTTCCAAATTTTTTGGAGGCTTGGTTACAACTATTCTACAATTACCTTCAACTAAATTTATAATTTTATTTTTCCCACCTCTCTGATTAGGTATCAATACACCTATCTAATCATTGCTAAATTTGAATCCTTCTTAAAGATGCCTGCGTGCCTGATTCCGCTTTCTATTATCAGTTAGATTCTCAAGAAACTCTGAGATGTATTGACTGAGATCAGCTACACTCATCTCAGAGCTGAGATTATATTTTTCTATAATTTTAGTTGTGATAGCTGACATGTTTGAATGTTATAGTAGGTTGGGTAGATTATGGATAGTTCTTTAGGTTATATACACTATAAAAAATATTTTTTCAAATCGAAATTAATTATCATAAGTTGATATACTGTATATATCCAAAAATTGAATGAGTCTCAGTTATTGTAATTCTGTCAGAAAATAGATGTGGGTAAGACACGAGATTGATCAGGTAGGAAGTGTTACTTCTCCCAAAATAAAGTCTTGGAATCCATAGCCCCTTTTTTCCTCTTTATCTCTTGAAAAAAAGATATATATGTTATCAATACAATATATACTACCTTTTTCTAGCTTCGAGCAGTTACTGTGAGAAGGCAGGAGTCCTAGAAAAAATAATCAATATATGTCAAGTATATGATTATACTTCATATCTAGAATTAGATAAGTTGGATATATTATTCTCAAGCATAATAATTTTTGCACATAATTCAGCTTGCTTTTTCTGTGATAATTTTCTCTACTTTGATACTTGCCTACGTGTTTACTACATGTATTATGAATGGATACATTTAACTTGCCACAATCTCTACAAGAAGTACGTACTGGAGATTTCCAATGAACATAATATCCTTCTGGTCTATAACTACCTTTTCCGCAGATTTTTCCAATCCTATTAATATATGGGCATTTATAAAAAGACATCAGGCTTCGTAACTTTTGTATATAAGAATTACTTTAATCAAATATATATATTTTTTGATGTCCAGCTAAAATTTCTGAAATAATTATTTTTATTTTAAAGATTTATCTACAAATTATTATAGTTTCAAAATTATATTACATATACTTTTTGTCAGATCAAACAATACGCATATACAAATAATACATATACAAATCAATAAATAAGTTTGTTGAGTGAAGCAAAAAAATATTATTGTGAATCATTATTGCCGAGTAATAGCTCTTTGAGCCTACAACAATAATGCTTAAATCAAAAGTCAGCTGAATATAATGAAGTAAAAAGACTTTTTATGGCTTTAACGGATCTTGACTATAAACCTGGCCATAGAGAATATATATTTTATAAATACTGACTTGCATCTAGGCCCGAAGAGGCAACCCTAAAGAGTTATGATCATACCAGCTCTTTTGATAAAAACAATACTGCGCTTTTAGATGCATATCAATCTGAAGAGATTCATTCTCAATATATAATTTGGATAGCAAGAAAAGATTATATAGTGATCGATCATTCTAGTGAAGTTTATAGAATACCTGATACTCACGAATGTATTAATGGGAACCAGCCCCTCTGCTTAATTATCGATATTGATACAAGGCAAAAACCTGATCCTACAAATCCTAAAGTACCTTCCTTAGATGATAAAAAAATTACTTGTGATGATTTGTTATCTCAAATTTTAGTCACTTGTGCAGATGCATTAAGCCTTATTCCTAATTGTATACCTTACTTAAATTCTTTTGCCTTAGCTAGTTCATTAAATGCTGAGAAATGTAGTTGGTATATTATTTATCCTCGTGTCCGATTCATAGATTATAGAGAACTTAAGGGATTTACAGAAAAAGTTATGGAATTAGTTGGGGAATCTTATTCAAAATTTATTGATAATGGCCTTCCCAAAACACATTTTAATCTTCAGCTTCTCAGATCAGCAAAGGAAGGTCATATAAAAAGACCAGCTATTTCTTCAGCTAAAAACAGATTTAAAAACCTAGATGATTATCTGGTTCAGCCTAAAGAGAATTATTCTGTAATCTGACCACAAATTTTTTCTTCTGAGGAGCCAGTAAACCAAGAATCCCAGCCTATTAATGATGAAAATGCTTTGAGTAGAGGAGCTAATCTAGTTATTGAAAAATATGGGTGACTTCAGATTGGAAAAATTGGAAATGATTTTATTAATTTTCAAGCACAATCTATTAAAAAATATCCTATATATGATGTTAAACATGATAAGGATCAACTCTATAGATTTATTTGAAAAAATAGAGATTTCGTACTTAAATGCTATCACCAAAAACAATATAAGCTGGAGCATAAGGGACTGAGTTTTGGTAAGGTATCAGACAAAGTCGAATTACAAGCAAAGCCTAAAAAGTGGATATTATGTGAAAGATTACCCAAGGCTCTATCAACTCCACATCAATTTTCTGAATTACCTGGAAAAAGTATTAATGTAAAAGAAATGGAGGATGTCTTAGATACTTTTTCAGACTTCTTAAGTGAAGAACCTAGCACCACTCTTATTCGTTCTACTGTAGGTACTGAAAAAACGAAAATACTAAGAAAAATTTTAATATCTTTAGTTCAAAGTAGTGCCAATTTATCCTGTACTATATGGATTTCTTATCGTAAAACCCTTAGCAATGAATCTAAAGCTAAACTTAAAGAATTGGAAAAATTCAATTTCAGAGTAGGGCAATATCAGAATATTGT